GACTGCAGAACAGAAGACTATATACAAAGGGAAAGTTGTGTAAGAGTAACAACCAGCAGGGAATACTTTGTGTGGAGTAAAAGCTACTAAGAACAATCAAGAAGGTAATGAGAGAAAACTGGAAAGATACTGCTTTAAATGTGAAAATAAAAGATTAGAAATTAAAAGGAACACGGGAGATTAGGAAATGAGAAACTCATGTCCACACAGTTCATAATGTGGCACTTTCAGATGGTGCTCTTAAGAGACTGTCTACACTGCACTGACATTTAAAATCCCCAATACCTTGAGCAAGTTTTCCTCTCACTACATGTTTGGAGTATGCTGTGTATCAGCTGACAACTGTTCTTAACCTCAGAGGTTGCTGCATTTCAGTGGCCAAGCAATCCCTGTGTATGTACATTTTATCAGACGTGTGGATAAACTTAAAAGATATTACTTAAGTATGTAACATGAATAGGGTTTGAGTATTTGCTCAAGATGCAGTAAAGTTTAAGTTATTCTATAAAAGAACTTCCCAGATCTATTAACTAGGCAGGAGGAGAGAGATGATTGCAACTGGATTCTTATCAGCAATATTCTATTCACTGATGAACATGTAGCTATATTTAAGAAGCAGGTATTTTTAAGGACTGTATAACACAATTGTAAGTCATTTACGAGAAGAATTTCAAGCCCTGCATAAGAGATTGTCTGCAAAATACATGCTGATTAAAGGAAAGCTCAAATTTTGGGTCAACTAAACTTCAGTATCTCTTTAAACATTCATCCAGATTAAATAGTCAAGATAGACAAAACAGTCTAAGTGAAGCTTCATGCATGAAAGCACTATCATCCAGAAGCTACAAGAACATGAAACTAATATAATAGGAGTAATAAGCAGCGTCAGTTTGAAGGAAGCCAGAATATTGCTGACCTGCGAATTAGCTATAGAATAATTTGACACATTTTGCTCACAAATGCTTACAAAGCAGAACAACAGAGAGACCACTACTATAATTTCTGCTTACGCAGTTCCTAAACAAAAATCCTCAGTACATGATCCCCAACCTGCTGCTCTAACAGTGTTGGACCCACTATGTTATTTTATCTCCTAATATACTTCCTTAACAAAGCACCTCAACCTATATTTTTATTTCAGTAATAGAAGAACAAACTAAAATTAAACTTAGCTATGTTTAGTATGCCCTGATAATGCAGTTCACACTCAGTCAGTCCAAGTTCAAGGGAAAGACGGGGGGGGGGGGGGGGAGAGACACACCAACAATTTTTCTCTGGTTCTCACCCACTCCTCCCCCAGCAAGAGAGAGCTTCTTAGAACAGCGAGCTTTATTTTCTTTCAATATCTCTCCATCACTTTACTGTATAATTAATTGAAGCTTGATCTCTAAGTTCGCTATATAGATGTCTGACCTTCATTACTGTAGCTAACTTCCAAAAGATGAAATTCACATCACATGCCTGGTATGCAGTTCTGCTCCCTTACAAGAGCCAAAGTTTGGCTTTTCAGTGATTTCCATATTCCAGGTGTCTCAAAGCACACAAATTTGGATGTCAAAACCAGATTTTCCGCACAGGAAAGTATAATTAAAATCCAATTTCTTACTCTTTGTATATTTAATTTTGAAACATTAATGCTTCTAGCCTCTATCAATGTGTTATTAGAAGTCCATTTCCAGAACCCATGGACAAAAACGCTTGGCCACTGACACTGTAAAAATTTATCAGTTTGTTCCATTGTTTGGAGTATCAGCAAATCAGCTATAGATTGAGTCTTCACATCCTATCACTTACCATCTCATTGTTTGAGGCAGGTCCTTTAGATCAGGGTGCAAATACACTAGCAAACCAATATAGTAAAGTTTGCCTTCCTACTGCCCTTACTTAACCTGATTTGTGGTTAAGTAGCTCAAATCAATAGAGCTGGAGATCAGACACCTATCCAAGTACTAAAAGACAAAAAAGCTTTGGTACAGAGATTGTGTCCTTCCTCTCTTTGGAATCTATAGCACAATTGGTTCTATAGTTAAAACCAGAGATCATCAGAAGTGATAAGATTCACAAGGAAACAGCAGATATTTGTACAAAATTAAGAGTGTGGTACAAGGAAGAGGACATTATACATTCAGTCCTGGATCAATATAGGATTACTTGGAAGTAGTAGTAGCTTTAAAGTACATCTTCTGAACCAATATGGCTAGAACTAAATACTGTATAACAGAAACTAGACAGTCTTATCTTTCCACATATAGAGAGCATTCATTTCTAGTCCTAGCAAGCTCTAATGAACTTACTCACTATCTTGTCAACAACTTGATGCTGAAGGATTATGCACCATGTTAGATTGAACTCCATCTTTCAGAGACAGTAAATCCATTCCATTCTAACACTAGCAGTGATTTTAAAGTGACTTCACACCAAGACAATGTGTGGTGGATTAACAGTAGTGGCTTCAGGTGTAGTAAGTTTTTCTAAGTACTGGCCCTGGACCAATGATCAAATAAAAAGTTCTATTCTCAGTTTAGAGAAATTGTTAACTTTTTGTTCCAATCTCTTTTGATAATTAATGCTATCTAGAAAACACTGCTTTACATTTTTCCACAGCATTTAAGTGAGAACATTAAGTTAGTTTTCTTATCTTACCAGTTAAGCATGAAATTTCAGTTCAAGTTGCCTTTTTAAAAAAAATACATAGATATAGAAACATTTCGTAATGACAATGACACCATTTTCAGCTTTGGTAACACTTTCATATGAACTGTGACTAGAAAAATAGCATTTCCAAATTCAACCAAGTGGCTAGAGAGTTACTGAGATTAAAATACCATTATATGTTTTACTGCACCTGAGCAAAACCCTGTTTGAATTGCTTGTAAATTTGTGACATGAGGTTAAAAAAAAAAAAAAAAGAAACAACAGGTAGTTAGTACTTGATAAAGATGGTTAAGTTTCAAGTCCTTCCCGCCCCTCAGAAAGTAATAAAAATGCCTCGCTTCATAAGCATCTTGCAACTCTAAAAATAGCTTTCATTGATGAGGAAATTGCATTAAATTCCATTTCATAATAGCAATACTGAACTCTAGGTAATGCACTGTACAGCAATTATTGCTTTAAGTTGGTTAAAGCCACTTTGGCTTTGTGCCTCATAATATAGCCCAAGGTGTTATAATCATCTTGAAGCATACCCCCTAGCATGTCTTATTGCTTAATAAACCAATCATTCAAGGTGGCTAACAGGAACACAGCTGTGCAATTAACAGACTTGGCACCAAATTAAGCACAGATATGCTAAAATAGATGGAATTGTTTATAAATTTTATGCTGAAAATACTGTTAGAAGATTAGTAGTAATCACTTTAGATCAACATAATGATCATTAGTGTTTATCAGATCATTAGTGCAAAGAACTTTTACTTGGAAAACAGAGGTAGAGAGTTGCAAGTTATATGTACTCACCTACCCTGGCAGTTTCCACTGAAGAAGCTTGTGCATAATTGAAAAACATCTTAAGTGTCTGTTTCAGTTATAAAATACATGTGATAATGCAGTCACCCTGTATCTATAGCCTGACTGAACACAAACAATGATCATTTAAAGGAAGATTTAGAGTTCAGCCAGCAGTTCCCCAACTGTGATCCTCAAAGACTTGATTGATACATGGTGCTGGCTCCTTCTTGTTTACAGCTATTAAAATACACTAGAAATTAACACTAATTTCTTTCCTCATATTTCATTTGATGTATGCAATTGTTCTAGCTGGGATACAGTTATCTGATCTTCAATGGTAGGGGTAATCCATTAAATCATGAGTGAAGAGAAGGTGGTCCATGAGTCTAGTCTCTGAAAAAATTTGGGAAACCTACATTAATACAAGGCCATTGGAGTTTATAGTTTTCAGGTTTTGAGCAACTTCTATTGCTGCTCTGCATAGAGAGCAGGAACGTAAGCATTCAGTTGAAGTTTGAAAAAATGCAAGTGAATTTAGTATTCAAGGTGCCAAATACATTGAACCCAGCTCGCTATTTCCTGTAATTTAATGTGGTGTATCCACCTAAATATTCAGAACCTAAGTTACTATAAAAATTGAAGCAGCCAATATTTACCTATTTTAAACTAGCAATCAACCCAGGATATATTTGTGTGTGTGTGTGAGAGAGAGTTTCGTCAAAAAAGGAAGCTCAAGATTAACAAATTTCCTCTCTGCAGGGTAACCACTAGAAGCGGTTCTTACTCTCAACAGCAACATTTTGGGAATAGGGAGTTGTCTGTCCATATGATAGTAAAATACTGACTACTGACTCCGGACTTTGTGATACTCTTCTGTTCTGCCTGCTGCTATCCGCTGAATTGACAGCAATTTAAAGAACACACTCCACGTTTCAGAGTATGATTTTTGCACGTTTCAATCAAACCTACTCACAAGAACAGAGTAAGATTGAGCAGGATAGCACGACTTCTGAATCTGCAAAGCAAAACACCACTGCGAAACCTAACTAATGTTCTAGTACAGATAACAGCTTTGCTTTTGAGCGTTTGTTAGATACATTATTACTGCACCTTCATACAGTAGTTTAACGTTTATTACGTTATTGTAAAAGTACATCGAAGGCCAGTGCCTACCTTCAAAACTCTTACCGAGAAGGCGCCCAACAAAGAGCCTGGGCAGCCCAATTGAACCGTGGCCACAGGCTACTGAGCTGCCTGCCAGAGACAGAGCAACACACACCCGGCCCGGCCCCTGCTCTCGCCGCGCCCCTGCCCCTGCTCGGGGGATGACCAAAGAACGCGGCCGCCCTCGAACAATGAGCAACGGGATCTCCAGCGCCCCACGACTCAGTCACACCCCTCCGGGGGGCACCTCGCCCCCTCCCGCCAAAGTGCGCCAGCAACTGGCCTCCCCAGCTCCACGACCCCCACCCCCGCCGCCCAGGCAGCCCCTCCTCAGCCACAGCGGGGTCTCCCAGCCCCTTGGCTTCCCCCGCTCCGGCAGCGGGACGTACCTAACGGGGAATAAATCCTTCTAGGCGGCGGCTCCCAGGCGGCCAGGGCAGCGGAGAGACCCCAACGCCTCCCGCCCCCACCACCGCCCTGACCCGGAACCGGATGGGAGGGGCAATGGGAGAAACCAGAAGCAGAGACCAGAGAGCGGCGGGTCATACGACCCCGCGGGGGGGGAACGGCCCGGGGCGTTGGAAATTGGGCGCATGCGTAGTGAGTTCCGAACGAACCACCGCGGGCCGCTGGGAGAGCGGGACAGACACTGCTGTGAAGCGAGGCGCCGAGTACGGGCGGGAATCGGCCGCCTACCTCCGGGATGGGGCCTATGGGCGGGCGGCGCTGCGTGTTCTAGCTGGGCAGGGGCCGGAGGAAGAAGGCTGGTCTGCGAGCCTGCCACGCTCAAGGCGCTGCTCTGTCCCAGCCTTCCGGTGCGAGCTGGGCGCGACCCACAGGGCCTGTTTGACAGAGGTTGAGGCACCTAACGCCCCTGGGCTGCACTGGGAGTTAGGCACCAAACTCCTACTGCAGTGCTGGGACTCAGCCGCTGGAGGGGAGGGGGCTGAGGTACCCTGGTGCCAGGGGGGCTGGAACCATTTGTATAGTGGGGGTGCTAAGAGCCCTTGAACCAAACTGTAACCCCTGTATATGCTGGAAACCACTTCCAGCCAGGGGGTGCAGCAGCACCCCTAGTTCCAGCACCTCTGCATGGTGAGGGGGCATAGCAGTTCCAAGGGCAAGTAGCTAGGAGTCAGGCTGGCTCCAATCCTCACATGGATGAAGGCACTTATCTCCCATGGAAATCAGGGAGAATGAGGTGCCTAAATACCTTGGAGGATCTGGGCCTTTGTGCTCTACTCTCAGAACCTACCCAAGCTCCAGGGGACTTTGTGACTGAAAAGCAGTAACAAGTCTCAGTGCTTATCATGCCAGTGAGAAATTATTCCCTATACTGCACATCAATTTAATAATAAAATTATAAACATTTATCAAAACAATTAAAAAAAAAAAAAGCAATGTATCAGCCCTTCACCTCTAGAAGCTGGAGGTTCATATGAGGTTAGGGCTGTCTACCTTCAAGGCATGGGGCAAGACCCACTTCTTCACAAAAGCATTTTCCAAAGGATGAAGTGTCCCTGCCTCTCCTCTCCCCAAAACCAAAAAAACAGCAACCCACCACTGGAAAAAAGAGTCGTGGTTCATGCTCCAGTCAGGGAATTCACTATTCTAGACAAATCTAAATAAATGCATCCATAAAGCATTTTGATGGGTGCTTTAGAAATGGCTGTAATTAGTCTCAAAAGAGGACGGACTCTTTTCCATGGAAAGGAAAATCATCTCAATATGTAGAAACATCAAGGTTATAATTTTTAAAATAGCCACATACTTGGAAAATTAAAAAATTAAGATATTTCAATGGGTTAGCAGCTGCACCCAAAATGTCCTCCTACTGCATGAAATAATGTTATGCTATTGCATTTTGAGGAAAGGAGAAATACAAGTACAGGTGGTTAGCCAAAAGGTCATCATCATCATTATCACATTCCTTTCTTGTGGGGAGGAAAAGGAAAACTGCTGAATTGGCTGGTGGCTAGAACTGGGTCTGAAAATCAGGATATCTGTGTTCTATTCCACTTCTGATGCTGACTCTGTGTTCTTGGGCAAGTCAGTTCAGCTTTCCCATTTGTAAAATTGAGAGAATACCTGCATCAGAGGGATTATGTGACACATATGCCAAAATTATCAAATTTGGGTCCCAAAAGTTAGGCACCTAAAGCCTGTCTGTAAATAAGTGGCCTAATTTTTTAGAACTGCAGAGCCTCAGTGTATACTTTTGAAGTCAAAGGAACATGAGGGTACTCAGCACTAAGTCATAGCTAATTTAACTTAAAGTTAACTCACATTTAGAAAGTGCTTTGAGACCTTTGGACGTCAACCATTTTAGATGGCTAGCTAAAACACTTATGCCATTGCTATATTAATCATAAACCTTTACAGAAGTTACGTTTTTCTGACCACGCACATAGTTCCCACTAGGACACTGATCTATGATCACATTATCCTCCACCCTTTCAAAAATCTTCCCAGTGAAGTCAGGTACCTTGCCCACCAGAGACTTTGAGGTAATCCTCCCACACAGGTCTTGTTTATGCAAGAAAATCATTTTTGTCTGTAGTCTGTGTTCCAGAACAGGTGCAACTGCAGCATTGCTCTCAACAGGATAAAAATGCTAGTGTAGATGGGCTCAGGCGTTTTTACCACCATGTCATGAAAACCTGACGCGCTAGCTTCATTTCACATAAGCAGGTTTTCATAATGTTGGGTAAAAACTCCTGAGCACTGTTTACACTAACGCATTTATCATGTCTAACAGTGCAGCTGCACTGTTGCTAAAAATGGGTACAAACTTTTCTAGGGCAGGTGCAACCAGAAATTCAGATCAACACAGAATCATTCACTCAGATGATTATACTGTGAGTGGCTAGATTTATAAAGATCTCAGCACATTGCCACCATATTGAGGCAGCTGCTAACCCAGGTAGTTTCTCTTCACTCCCCACACCCTAGGTTGCTAAGGCAAGGGTGGAAGGGTGCAAAAAATGAAGTCTGTTTCGGGGTAAGGAGGAGGGACAATATAGAACTGGGAATAAACAAGTAAGAATGAGGGGAGATATGGAGGAATGAGGAGGGGAGAATGGATTTAAAGGTGTGGAGGAAAAGTGGAGGAATTAGCAGAGAAAAGTGAGAAAAGGAAAAAAGACAAAGATGAAGAAAAATATGACAGCACAGAGACAAAAGAAGAGCAATTAATAAGGTAAGGTCCTGAGGGTGGTGACCATATTATCTTATGTTTTTGTACAGAGGTTAGCACAAAGGGCCCTAATATATATTGGGGGCTACAGGCACTACCATCATATATATGTTTAGTAATCAAATAATTATAATATAACTCAGGGCACGAGATGGTTTAAATAAGGAAGAACTGGGTGTGCAGATACAGGTTGGAAAATGCAAGAAGAGGCTGAGACTTGAAAAAAATAGCAAAAGGGACACAGATGGTAAATACTCATCTTTTACCTTGATTGTACATCCCCATTTTTATTTTGGGAAGGTGAGGACATCAAAGAACAAGTTGGATGGGCATTGCTTGGTTGAGAAGTGCACAGGGATACCTTTTTAATTTCTCTGCCTCCATGTCCTTTATACACCTCCTTGAATGCCAGTCAAACCATTGCTGGTGCACCTCACTTTGAAATATCCCCCCATCCATGCCATCCCAATGCTCCACACTTAAGATCTGGTCACCTTAGTTATTTGATCAGTTCCTATTGGCCCAATGCATGAAGCATCTTCAGAACTGAAAAAAAAAAAAAAAAGATTGCCTGTAGGCTGATTTTCCAATGAGTCACTTGTCCAAGTATTGAAGACAGCCAGCCTGGGGCACTGTGAGCTTATTTGGAACAAAAGACTCATTACCATTTATGGAAGGGAAGAGTCCTGCCTAGCACAATATACTCTGCTATAGTAGAATATCAATGAATACTGTTGGAATTATGCCAGTCTCCTGGGGCTGAGCCCTGTAGTTCAAGGAGCTCTATACCTCTTATGCTGGGACATTATACTGAACGGAAGTGGAGTTAAATTCCAAACACTGCTCAAGACCTACTTATAGGTCTATGTTTGAAAATCTTTACTTGTGGGCAAATATAAAAATCAAACCCAAATCTGTTGCAGGTTTCCATGTCACTATTCTTCTACCATGTTTATCTTAGGTAAGGTATAAGATCAGATTAATAACTGATACATTCTCTCATGGAGATTGTTCCCTGCACTTTCATGGATGGATGTGACAACATAAGAAGTCGGGTTTTTTTACCCCATAAATAGGGCCCTACCAAATTCATGGGCCATTTTGGTTAATTTCACAGTCATAAGATTTTAAAAATTGTAAATTTCATGATTTCAGCTATTTAAATCTGAAATTTCACAGTGTTGTAATTGTAGGGGTCCTGACCCAAAAGGGGTTGTGTGGGGAGTCACAAGCCTATTGGGGGGCAGGTTGCGGTACTGCTACCCTTACCTCTGCGCTGCTGCTAGTGGCAGCGCTGCCTTCAGAACTGGGCAGCTGGAGAGCGGTGGCTGCAGGCCGGGAGCCCAGCTCTGAAGGCAGAGCTCCTGCCTGCAGAGCTGGACCCTTAGTCAGCAGCCACTATTCTCTGGCCGCCCTGCTCTGAAGGCAGCAGTGCAGAGGTAAGGGTGGCACGGTATGGTATTGCCACCCTTACTTCTGCGCTGTTGCTGGCGGGGCGCTGCCTTCAGAGCTGGGTGCCTGGCCAATAGCCGCTGCTCTCTGGCCACCCAGTTCTAAATACAGCACAGAAGTAAGGGTGGCAATACTGCGACCCCCCTAAAATAACCTTGCAATCCCTCTGCAACTCCCTTTTGGGTCAAGACTCCCAATTTGAGAAACACTGGTTGCCCCCGTGAAATCTGTATAATATAGGGTAAAAGCACACAAAAGACCAGATTTCATGAGGGGAGATCAGATTTCACGGTCCATGATGCATTTTTCATGGCTGTGAATTTGGTAGGGCCGTACCTATAAATGACCACACTGTGATACCATTTGGGGACTCCATTAAGACTAATCAAAACTTTTCTATCAAAACGGTGTTTCAATTGAAAATTGGGTGTTTTCTAAACAAATGTTTTCATGAAAAGTGTCTGCTTTCTGCAGAAATTTGAGTCTCCATTGAAAACTTTTCCTTTTTGGGACAAAAGTTTTAATTTTTTGATGAAATGTCAAAATTTTAAGTGGAAAGTTTTGATGAAAATGATTTTTTCATTTTTGGTGACATTTTCCACAGGGGAAAACATTTTGTTTTCTGACAAGCTCTAGAGTTTGCCATTTATGTCAGGCAGTGTTTCACCTTCTCCACAAGGTGGCAAAAGATAGCTGGAAATCAATCCGGGTGTTCAAATGTACCCTAGAAAAGAATCAAAGAGGGGGTCAGAACCAACTGCATAACAAATGCTGAATACCTCTATTTTTAAACATCAGAAAGTTGCAAATACAAGCATATACTTACAT